AAGTGGGGACAGGCAAAGGACCGCTGGATGCATGAAAGAAGGACTGAATTCTGAGCTGAAGATTTCGTGAGGATAAGTCTTACCCCACCAACCAGACCTGAATCCTGATCACTACACCCCATCACATGGGATGTTGTCCCTTGCACCGAGGTAACTTCTGTCCTCTTTGGAAAATCACTTCTGAAGTTTAAAAGAAGATTTGGGGACCGAAAACATTTCAATAGGCGTAGGGAACCATCCGGTTTGTCCACTACGGCATCAAAACCAGCATTACAGAACCTTGTTTGCAACGTGACGACAACGATCCAGATTGTGGTAAGAACTGATTGTACTTGCTTCCAATACGTTACACAACTTGGGACGCATGAGAGTGAGAAATTTGTGATAAAAGGTTCAATCTACAACAATAATTCAAGGAAAACAAACACAGCAAAATTAAATAAAATATAAAGATGAAACAGTATTCAAGATGGAAAAGTACACTCCGATGTGCTCTTTATGAGACGACAGAATCGCAATAAATGCAAAGTTTGCACACCACAAACAGAGAGATCCCTCTCAAAAGATACGGAAACCAAAAGAGTGTAAACGAACGATTTCAAGGTTATTAGAGATATAGCCGGGGAGTGTAGGTCTCCCGTACTCATTACACATGTTTTGCGATAGAGCATTCTTTTGAAAAATATGTCACATAAGCATAGTTAAATTTCTTGTCATTACAAACACGGCCTTAGGGATGCAATTTTTTGCACTTGACAGCAAGTTCACCTCTACTGCCGAAATTTCAGTATTGTTATATTCGAGCGTCACACATATATCTTCTAATCGAGTATAAGTTGAGGAAAATCTTGAAAAAGAACTGAAGGTAAAAAGGGGTTCCATTTGGTGGTTTGCAAGAAATAGAAGGCCATGAAGGGATCTATCGTGATATTTTGTAGGGTACAGAAGGCTGTAAAAGTTAGATACGAATCTTGCAAATCTTCTTGTCCAAAGAAGAGACATATCAATTGTATAAATGTACTGTCTTAACACAAACATATGATGATATATATTAAAACCATAAGAAATATATCACTGCATCATCAATTTCAAAACAAAACTTTACCACTTTCAGCACGAACTGTTACCTAGGTTTCATACATGATTTTCACACAATTGATATAAGTGTACATTCCGTTTTCTACACTGATTTAATTACGCATAATAAGAGTAAATTTCACTCCATCTCTAACTAGTGTCTCGTTTCTGATATATATTATTACACGAAGAAAGGTTGGGGCACGACTGTAATTGTTGAAGTATATACTGAGTAATATATACATAGCTTTGCACATGCTAATTTCTACGAGATTGCGCCGAGGCATTGCAATCGTTATATTTCTACTCGTAATCTTGATTCTCTACCCAGCCTACTTCAGGTTTAGAAGAGGATTTTGCTAACAAGCAGCAGAGAACTCCTTTCAGAACATCCAGACAGAACACCAGTACACGGTGAACATCAAAGGCTGAACACGGTTGAGACTGATATCAGATAGATGAGAAAGATGAAAAGTTGATACATGTCTTGTTGTCTTATAGATGGTCAAATAGGATAATCACATATGATCAAACCAACGGTTAATTGCAAGTTTTGCCCAGGAAATTTCACAGAATTCATGATGAAAGGACAAAGCGCTCAAAGGAGACAAAGGAAAATCTTCCAACTGCTGCCGATGCAGAGCAGAAAGCTAGGAAAGTGAATCTGCAATTCGAAAAGACCAAAGAAGTTTGAACGTACTGTAAAGCCAAATGGTCCAGAGGGCAGGTCCGAGGCTTTAGATGGAGCTATAGAGTACCGTGGTGAGAAGAACGAACAGCCTTGTCTTGAGAGTCTTGACCGCATAAAACAATACTTGCGCTTTTCTCTTACGTTTGGGTTGGTCTCCAGTCAACAAGAGCGCAGAACAACTGGTCAAGTGGACAAAAGTTACCGTAGTCGTACATATAACAGATATTGATCCTTTGCAGTACATTCCGTTGGTTGTGATTGGCCACTCTATCCTGATACCTGAGGCATACTGCATCTCGTATGAGAGTAAGGGGCAAACTTGTCACCCTCCATTACCATAGTCTAGATATGAAAGTGACATATCGAAGGATTATAAACCGTTGGCGTTGCATTATTTCCCCACATCTCGTTACAGCAGTTACTCTACAAGCGCACGTAAATCTTTTGGATATAAAAGTATAAGACCAGCCTCGACCGACCGTACAATGTATTGTCAACCCTTCATTACAACTCTTTGACATGTAGTCACAATCCTCCAACCCCTGGCCTACCTGCATGTTTCTGAATAATTGCACTCGCAATCATGGCATTCACCCTTCCTCTGTGGACAAATGTTGAGTAGAGTTACCACACTTCTTGCCCTGTTTTGTCTGAATATGTTTTTACTGATAGCACGTATGAGACGGATATTCTCTCGTTGATATTCCGCACAGCAACCGTCGAGATTTAAGGCTCAATCTGGACTTGCGGTCTATGGAGCCTTGACTTGCTCACGATCATGGCGTCAACTCATACTCCTGCAAATTGATTATACTCGAACTTTGCAAGAATGTGCCATGAAGATATATCATGCTGGAATGTTAAAAGACCCGACTTCTTTTCGTCTGTTGTCTTTCAACTCTAGAGTAGGTTCCACTAACCGGGGACTGTAACACCATAGCTTTTGAACGGTGCTTGCTATAGACAAGATGTAAGAAATAGATAGCAAGAGGCTGAGAATATCCTATCAAACCGAAACACGGATGCAGCTAAAGGAGTGAGATGGGGCTAGACTCCAAAATTTCATACCGCAGAAACCTTAATTCAACTATCTATGTGAATCAATCTGCGTACTTCGTTGACATGAGAAGAAATAAAATACAAAAAAACTGATCTTTTATGTTTTGGACAGACTAAAGTTCTGTATGTATAAAACACATTGTGTAAAATAATAATAACAGATTACAGGAATTTGAAGAGAGATATACCCATAACGTATGTACATGCTGTCGCGTAGGTTTATATATGTAACTATTGAAATCATTCGATTCAATATCTTTGGTACCAGAAAGATGAATTCTGTAATAGACTTTGTCATCTTTACGGGTATTTGATGTATAACAATTTGCACATGTGTGCTAAGTTAGTACATTTTAAGCTCGGACGTCTTTCTTGGTCTTCTTCATGACCGCTACCCAAGCGATGCCACTACGACCTTTGTAAGCACAGAGCCACCACTACAGCGATGATGTTTAGGGCAATCACGATGTCGCTTCAGACCTTGTAATACTCACACTCAGGTCAGGATTTGTCAGTTCGCAGCCTGCTGTCTCAGTGAGTCTCAGGCAACCGCAGCGATCACGCCATTTGACATCAACGGTGTTAGGACGCTAAAATGACCGCGTAAAGGACCACAGTGAGACAGGAAACTTTGAAGCTTTCAGTATGCATTGGGTTCGAACTTGGTTCAGGGGCCAAAACTCGTCCGTGGCTCATTGGCCCTTTGACACACAGGCTGTCTCTTTACAGTTAACGACTACTGTATCTGATTAGAAGTTTCTAGCTCGAATCAAATGCTTCTCAAGGACGAAGCGACAGCTGCACTAATGCAGTACCTGATGTGGAATTCGGAATGTACACTAGCAATTTTTAGTTTCTTGCGATGACCGAGAAGACTCATGTGTATGTACAACGAGAGACTGAGTAAAAGTACTCAAATCGGTCCTAGGGGACTGCGACTGAAATTTAAACGAGTGGCAGTACATTGATGCATGATAGTGAGCAGAAGATCCCACGTTGATTAAATCTACAGCCAAAATGAAACCAAGGACATGACCGTACATGAATAAAGCTTGGAGCAAGAAAGTCTAAGTCAACGAGGTACAGCAACCAGATATCGTGCCTGTCCAAGAGTAGTCGGCAATTCAGCGGTTATTTCATCCTACTTATGAGATGAGGAAAATTGGAAGCTGTCCCAACGCTCGAGAGTTGCACAGGGAAAGAGAAGAACTAGTAAATATCCTGTCTGTGCCGTTTGAGAATCCAGAATCTGCAAGGACTGAGAAGTTACTCGAGGCCTCTGCAAGCGCGTAGGCGTCTCTTGTCACTCTACATGTCAGGTGTTAATTAAGACAGTCACACGGCGGTTTGGGTCAATTTGAGCCAGAATCCATCACTCAGTTGATTTAGGCAGAAATGAGAAACACGATTTGGTGTGCGTATCTGGGAGGAAACACTGCAAACCCAGAGATTAGAGATAATGGATGACGAAAGAACATAGTATTTATAGTATTGAGTCTGTAATTGGTTCATTTCGAAGTTCGAGCCGATGTTGCTTCATTTCGATGTTTCACAGACGAACTCTGATGGGCTCGTATTGTACCCTTGTTCTCACTTGCAGAAGAAATGACAGCATGCCCAAGCTTGATACTCCTCAAGTTCACAGAGTTTAGTTTTAGTTTCCTGTATTGTTTACGGTCTTACTAACCCAGACGATCGGCTGTTTCCGTTCAGGGAGGTTTGAGTGATCACTCTAAGGATAGCCTAAAAAATACTCTGGTCATCGTATCCGAAGTAGATTTTTCAAAATGAGCGTAGCCACAGCGAAAAACGAGTTCTTGAAGACCTGAGAGGCGTTTGACATGTCAATCCACATTGAAATCAATTAAATTCTGTTAGTTTGGGGTTCTGTCGAAAGATCTCCAATTTACCACTAATCGTGATGTCTAATCCAGTTTTTTTAGACTGCTGCTCTCATCCACCCATTTGAACAGAATTCAACTGAAGTCACTGTTGATTGACATGTCAAACCCCCTGGCAAAAACGCCACAGCAAAGCACATAACGTAAGAAGACAACTCCCAACTGCAAGTTGATTTCATTTCATATTTCAGCTGCTTCAAAGCGAATGTTAACTCTAAAATATTACAACGTGAGAACCATGAATTCAACAGCTGAATGTTATTATCGATGAAACTTTCAAAAACCTTATCTTTAACAAGAAAATTCCATTACAGAACCACAAGAAATACAGCCTGCCGTGGGATCCCCTCCGCCGACTATTTCCTCAAATTAATTAAGACGATGTCGTATTTGGGTAGGTTTATCCAAACCAAAAGTTAAAAATGAATGAAGTGAATATACGCTAGATTTACGTAAGACAATTCTTCTACAGGGCATACAACTCTCTGAGCAAGGTGGGTGCACTCTGCGCAGAGAATTCACTGTGCTCAATCACAGCCATTGTGCACTAGCACTCCCACGAAATAAGGAGTGAGAGGCTACTCACAGAAAAAAAAATCCACTCTGACGTCAGCAGAAACGAGATCAAGTTAGACCTTTCGATGGGAACATCTAATCAAACTGCTCACCCAGCCCACGAGTGAGTGGAAAACGAGAACTCAGAGAATGAAATAATTGCGGCACGCTGCTAAAAAACCATCAATTGTATTTAGCATTACCGGCTCCCGGCTCGTTGGGTTCAAAATAAGGAAACAGAGAGGTCGCTTGAACGACAAAACTGATACAAACTGAGACCGGCATGAACAGAAATGAGCACTGAGCAAATGAACGACAAAACATTCAATTGAAATTATTTTTTAGCCTCTGAGCCTGAGAACTATATATAACCCCTCCCTGACGTTCGAGTTACAAATGATGAACAAGAACAAACTAAGTAACGAGTGAACAAAGGAGGAAAAAGTGAGGATGACTTGTGAGAGAAAATGGGAGTCTTTCAGTAGGATACGAGGTCCGCTTAGACTTTCCTGTTGTCAGCCAGAAGATTCTTCACTCAGTCATCCATCTACAGTCTCCGTACCCCAGCAAAGTATAGGTCAAAATATTGGCAGCTCTGGGCATTTGAATCAAGGTATGTGCAGACAGGAAACCGGTTTGAAATTCATGTTGAAACTTGGTTCTCGGCTGTGGTTAAGGTTAGTGCGGGTAGTTAAATTCTGGACACGCTGTACATGAGGCAGGGTGCTTCCCCATCTTGCTCTTCTTGTAATCGAGGGGACTAACGTCAGTCTGGAATGTAACCTCCAGTCGTGTATCCAAACCCCGAACATACGGTTCCCGAGAGAAAAGTTCGGGCAGGAATCAGAGATCAGATCTGATTTTCACTTGCTCCAATCTTTTTGGCCCTATCATCGCAGCCTGTGCTTCCCACATTAGGACTTCAAAAGCGCTGCCAATTGCTCTCATAGTCCCTGTCCAAAAATCTAATTTGCACTTCGCTTTTCCAACTTCGTGTCCCATACCTGAAGTAACCAAGGCTAACACGGTCTCTCTGGCTTTCTACGGAACCATAGGGCATTCAGCTTTTCTCGGGTTGCCAATAACAGGGAATGTGGTGAATCTGCCTCTCCGATCTGAGTGTAGCAACGTCTCGTCGAATGTACAGCGGTGCCACTCAAAGTTGAAACCTGACTGTCACCCCAGCCGTTTGCGAGCATGCTAACACCATGGAACGTAAAAATTCCGGTTCTGTTGCTGCAAACCTAGGTGGACGAAATGGTAAACTAGTCTCAGGCTGAACAACTACATAATCAGCTTCAAACGTTACATCCCAGCAGACAAGGAACTTCGAGAAACTACAGAGCTAAAATTGATCCCCGTGCTTTGCAGATTTCTTAAGATGAGATTTATACAACACTCAGAACAGAACTCAATCCCCAGGTGCAAGCAAGAAGGCCCAATGGCACCACCACTCCACAATCATAGCCCAAACCAAAGGCTACCTTCCAGAAACTAGAATCGACGCTCGCGGAGAGCGAAGAGAACAACAACCAGCACACTCGAACGAGAAAAACACACGCGGAAATGGATAAACTGACGCCACCAACGGCGACGGCAATGTATGAGCTCCCTCCAATTGGCTGCAATCCTCCAAAGCCCCGATTTCTTCGACGTTTTCGTTGAAAACCCCACAATCTGCAATGAAACGAGAATGCTCGCGCCAAAGAGGGAGCCGCAAATGCACGACCGAGCGACAACCGATTGACCGCCAGCTTCAAGGAAGCTGTCAGCAAGAGCGACACCGAGACCGAGTCCGTCGCTCGACAAAAGAAGCAAGAAAAGGGTCGAATCAGCACACGCGGAAGGAGCGCGGCGAGGGGAGCGTGAGAAGCAAGCGACGACGAGGAGCGCGGGCCGCGGCGGGAGCGGGAGGAGGAGGAAGACGAAGAAAGAAAACAAGAAGAGAGGGAAGGAAGAAGAAGAAGAAGGAGGAGGAGGAGGAGGAGGAAAGAAAAGAAGCTGAAGGGAGGACTCGGAGGAGCGACGGGAGCAGGGGACGGGGGAGGACCGGGAGGAACGGAGGGGAGCGAGGAAGATGTGAGGGCGGCGTGACCGGTCACGACGGCAGGAGCACGAACGCACGAATCTCGTCGACTTCATGGCACGACCAGGGGCGACCGGCGAGAGAGAGCGCCGGAGCGGGCGGCGTCCGGTCACCGAGGTGGAAGTGTCGGGCCGCGGACCGCTGGCGATGGTCGTGCCGGCGCTCTATTAGTGCGAGTCGCGGGCCTGCTTTGCTCGCATCCGGACGTCCGTCCCTGCGTGCCCATCGCTGGCCCTGCCTTGCTCCTCTGCTGCCGATTTGACTTTTCTCGCCCTCGCTCGTTGCCCTCGCTCCACTCTCGCCTCGTCCGTTTGCGCCATCGACGCTCGTTCGCGACAAGGATCGAGCCCCGTCGATCCGCGCAGCAGCAGCAAACTTCATCAGCAAACAGAGGTCGAGGTCGAGGTCGAGCTCGAGTAAGCCGAGGTGAGAATTCGCTCCGGATTCCAATTCCTCGATAGACTGCACGCCGCGACTGAATTGAATCCTCTTTGATTTAAACGAGCGGAATTTATTTTTTTTCATTTTTCATTTTTCATTTTTTGGGGAATTCATTTTCTCCGAGCTTGCGCGTCACGAGCGATGTGGGCGATCGATATAGCGCCGGGGGACCGATCAGCCGTTTCGGGGGGCGCGGGGGGACAGGGGAGGGGGCAGGCAATTCGAGGGAGGTGAGCGTTGGGGGCCGTTCGGGGAATTGGAGCCCGGAGATGGATCGGCGGGCGATCGGGGGGTCGGAATGGGAGTGAGAATGGGAATCGGGGGAGATTTGAAATTCTGAAATTGAATTGGGCGCGTTGGGGGTGGTGAATTGGCAGGGGCAGGGGCAGGGGCGCGGGGAGTGGGATACCAATGGAGAAGGAGGCGAAGATCTACGTGGCCGGGCACCGGGGCCTGGTGGGGGCGGCCATCGTGCGCGCGCTGCAGCGCCAGGGGTACGAGAACCTGGTGCTGCGAACGCACAAGGAGCTGGACCTGACGAGGCAGGCGGAGGTGGAGAAGTTCTTCGAGGACGAGAGGCCGGCGTACGCCATCGTGGCAGCGGCCAAGGTGGGCGGAATCCACGCCAACAACACGTACCCGGCGGATTTCATCGGCGTGAATCTGCAGATTCAGACCAATGTGATCGACGCGGCGTACAAGAGCGGCGTGCGCAAGCTGCTCTTCCTCGGCTCGTCCTGCATCTACCCGAAGGAGGCGCCGCAGCCGATCCAGGAGGAGTCGCTGCTGACGGGGCCGCTCGAGCCCACGAACGAGTGGTACGCCGTGGCCAAGATCGCCGGCATCAAGATGTGCCAGGCCTACCGCCTGCAGTACCACTGGGATGCCATCAGCGGCATGCCCACCAACATGTACGGGCCGCACGACAATTTCCACCCGGAGAATTCGCATGTGCTCCCGGCTCTGATCCGGCGCTTCCACGAGGCCAAGAAGAGCAACGCGCCCGAGGTCGTCGTCTGGGGCACCGGCTCGCCCTTCCGCGAGTTCTTGCACGCGGACGACCTCGCGGACGCCACGCTCTTCTTGATGGAGAATTACAGCGACGTGCCGCACATCAACATCGGCAGCGGCCACGAGATCACCATCAAGCAGCTCGCGGAGATGGTGAAGGAGGTCGTCGGGTTCCAGGGCGAGCTCAAGTGGGATCCGTCCAAGCCCGACGGCACGCCCCGCAAGCTCATGGACAGCTCGAAATTGGCCAGTCTCGGCTGGGAGCCCAAGATCCCGTTCAAACAGGGACTGACAGAAACTTACAAGTGGTACGTAGAAAACTACGATGCCTAGAGCCGCGCGGACGGTCCCCCATGTCGCCACTCTATCCGCAATCATTGATTGATTGATTGATTGATTGATTGATTATATACAAATTGATGCACAATTGCGTGCGTTTTTACAAACTAGGATTCGGTCAGTTTTAGGCAGCAGCGCAGATAAGGACGAAGTAGGTTTTTGATAGACGGGCTCGAGTGCTCCATAGCCGGAGATTAGCAGCAGCATTGCCATAACATTCTTGCGGAACCCCCACCCCTGCCTTGGACAGGGGATCGCCCTGCAACCCAAGTCTTGGACTTTCTTCCAACTCATTATTAAAGATTAGCCCCAATTTTTTGCCGCGGTACAGTTTTCCGTCCTCTCGCTCTTCGTCGGTGCTGCGTTCTTAATGATGATGGTAATGATGATGATGACGATGATGATGTCTATCCGCGCACACGCCAATCATCCGACAGGACACGGGAGCTCCGGCCAGTCCTGGGACGGCCTGCTCGACGAGTCGATCCTCTCGAAATCTCTGTCCACGGGGGTTCCCTTTTTCTCGAGGTGATCTGATTCACAAAGCTGCCAATCCTCGGTCTCCAGAGCTGGTTCACGAGTGATCGCTTCGAGAAAGTCCAAAGCTGTCCGAGCGGGGGGGATGGGCAGGGGGAAGAGGCCGTGCTCCTTTGGAAGGGTCCCGAAAGAAGTGAAGCAGACGAGATCAGAAGCAGAAGCAGAAGGAGCTGAAACTTATCAGCCCTGAACGAGCTACACGTTTCCACCCAGAGAGGATGGCATGTCAACGAGGCCAAAAGTGGCCGCCAGCCTCGGCAGGCAGGCAGAAAGGCAGAAAGGGCGGCCGAGCTATGGATCATCAGAAAGACCTCGAGGCCCACGGGGCACAACACTCCAACATGCCGGTGACTTCCACGGTCCAGACTCTGCTCTCGGACCGGGGGATCACGTGCTGAATCGATCAGTACCAAAAGGCCTCCTCGGTGCTCCGAGTGCAGATCAGATCAGATGAGCTGAGAGAGCAGAGCTGAAAAGACACTATCGTTTCTATTTCTATTCTTTCACACAACGATTTACGATTCAAAAAGTGCGTGAAGACAAGCCTCTCTCGCTGACCGAATCTCCTTTACTGATCACACGCTTCGCAACATTTGCATCTCCTTTCTCTCCGGTAGGTTTCTGCAAGCTCTCTGCTCACGACCCCTCTCTCTCTCTCTCTCCAGCATTTGTACCTGAGAATGGAAGCAGATCCGCCAACCGACTCGCAGTTGCCAGAGTTGAGCGAAATCTCAACACTTTGCTGTTCCAAAAGAGGGAAGACATTTTCCACCGGGCTCCATGTGAAGTCAACTCGGGAGTCAGCAGCAGCTTGGACTCGAGGTCAGAAGATCCGAGGGGGGATCCAGATCCCAGTGCAAGTGGGGGAGGGCTTTGGGGGAACCAAGATCGAGAGGCGTTGCGGACCCACGCGTTTTCAGGCGACGATGAGGAGGAGGAGGAGGCGGTACTTTCTGTTGTACAGTACTCAGTCCGACTGCGGGTAGCTCATGGTTCTTTGCAAACGCGTTATCTTCTGAATCATCCTGGAAATTGACATTCCGATGAATCAACAGCTGCTGATTCATGAGGCTGCATGAGGCATCTACGACAGAATCTGCAACAGATCTCCAGTTTACTTCCGGTCCCGAGCTGAGCTCCGGGCTGCAGAGCCGCCTTACAGTCCCCCGGCGTGAGAATCGTGTCGTGAACGATCTATCACCAGTACAGAGCAATCGACTGGAGCGAAGATGGGAAATAATGCTCCAGTCAAGGGTAATGACTCTCCTCTCTCCCATCTGGTCACTCATTCTCTACTTTGGCTGCTGCTCTAAAGTCACTCGCTCGCCGTACAGAGAGAGAATTGTCCTTCCCTCCCACTTTGCATGCACTGCAACATCTTCTACCGAGTCTCCGATCGACGGCCGAAAAGGTCAAGGAACAAAACGAGCACTGCTTTGCGAAGGTACAGCTGCTCCACGTTCAGCGACTCGCGTAGGAGAATAAGTTGATTCCCCTCTGTTCTCCTGCTCCCGGCGTAAAGTCTGGTAGAAATGATTATGCCGAGCTGGGGTTGCAGCTGAAGCTCCAAATGTATGATCGGCTTGCAGTGATTCGTTTCATGTCCGGAGCCAGTGGCCTCGTACATGCACTACATCGATGGCAATCAGTAGCTCTATGCTTCTCGGCAGGGGCCTCCAGCGCTGATAACCTTCCCAATGTGGCCTCTCCACTCCGTACTGCACAGAATTTAACCAAAGAGTTTAAAGTTTCTAGTAAAAAATGCGGAAATTGTGTCCTGAACTTCCAGAAATCAGCCTTCCCATCCCTTCTGAGTTTCCCATTATGTAGCTCTCGACAATAAGTTCCATGTTTAATAGAACGTGTGAGATCTCACTAAATGGAATACGAGTGTTATATTGTGAGATATACATTACGCAGACTTCTTAATCGGGATCATCATCCCGTCTTACTGAGCTGCCAGATTCCAACTCTTAGCTGCACACTCATCGTTAACGAAGACGGTGAGATAGAAGACCTAAGTCTGCAGAGCACCGGATGAATCGAAGGACAAGTTTCTTCACGACGTCCATGTGTGATCGAAGTCGAGATTCGCAGGTAATCTTTCTTGTAAAGCAGTTTATCTGGTTCAACGTCTCGATCACTAAGATTCCAGAAATCAGGAGAACTAAGATTTCTCGTTCCAGTACGTATATGGGCAGCAAAGGGAAGTAGCGTAAGTCAAATGTATTTTATTCGAGCTAGCTCACGAGTTTCCACCTGAGACACTTCTTGGCAGACCGGCCGGTCGAGTTGACTCTGTGTACACCTACGCTAATCGTGAGACTTAGTATGACACAAAGGAAACCAAGCTTTACTAGATTGAGCTCACCAGAGGCGAAAGTGATGAAAAGCTTGTACGGATGCATGAACTCCAGTCCTGCAGATTCGCATGAAGTCAAATCGTACAGCTCTCCAGATACAAGTTGGATGAGCGTAGTTTGACAAAGCCAGGGAACGAGAGGACGCAGATTTCGTCCCAAGGCGTCTCTCATCAGTGGGAGTGTTGACTAGGGGACTGCAGTGTTGACGGTCTGAACAATCGATGCCTCAAATAACGGTTTCTCCATGTTGCAAGTGGACATCCTAGGTGGCACGATGTGAAATAATCTCAGCACTAGGTATTGCTTCGTATGTGCATGCAGCGGCTCTCATCTTGAGATGCCCGCACATTAAGAGGCGATCTAGAGCATAGCAACTGGCCTTCGCTTGAGCGTAATAGCGTTACCTGTGACAATGCTGAGACTTGATAATTCTCAAGAAGTAGCAATCTGAGAAGGCTTATCTTCGCCCGGGGTAGATACCAAACATGCATCGAAAACCAGACACATACTCGTGTACCTAGTATGATATACAGAAAAATATACACCGATAGCTGAAAAGTTCTAAGCCAAAATGCGAAAGCAGAGCATCCTTATGAGCCAGCCAATAGCCATAAAAAGAGGAGAAAGCAACCACGCCAATCTCGAGAATTTCTTGGGAGCAGAGTCTCTTTCAGTCCTTAATCACGAGGAGTAAGAGTCGGTGACATCTCTCGGTGTGATCAGCTCGATGAATCAGAATGCGACTGAACATAGTTGAGGTTTAGGAGGTGTTGGTTTGATTCTTGCCGAGCCTCGGACGTAACTTCGCTGGAGTCCTTACTTGAGGTTGTAACCGGATTTCAACAGAAGTGAAATACTACATCTGTTTCAGTAAGAAATGCATCCGTGCGGTATTAACAACAGCATAAACTTTTGAGCTTTCCCCAATCGCAACGGGAAAGTTACTTGATTCTCCCTTTGAAAGTCAGCTATCACTTTGTTCCCATTCAGTTTCGGAGATAAACTGGCTACAATCTAAATCTACCGGATATGCCTGGGGAAGAGTTACTCAGGTCAAGAGTTTCCAGAACGACGTCAGCTCCTACCCCACTCGAATCCGATAAGAACATGGCCGCCACGTCACGACCTCCACACGGTGCAATTCCATGCCACCGGGTGGAACCAAGTACAGTAACTTTGAAACTTCATTGGGGAACAAGGAACGTTGGCAATCTAAAGGGATGACGAAGCGACCTTTCCCAAGAGATAACACACGACCTCGTTATAAACGAGGAGCACAAGACTTATCTCCCAAAAGAAAGTGAGCTGACACTACGCAGCTCTCCAGCATGAGTGGAATCAATGAAGTTCAGCCCACAGCACACGCCTGTATATGCTCGAACTTATCCAATTTTATTCCACATATTGTAGATATTTTTTCAGCTGTCAATGCTGCGAAGCTTTGAGTCTGGACACCAATGAAGAATACACAGACTAGTGGAAACCCCCCAATCACTTCTAGAAGCACAGCAGATTGGCTCCGAAGCATGACACGGATATTACAAGGCCAAGCACTATGCTGAGAAGGAACTGGCGACGTCGGCTGATGTTACGCGCTGAAGGTGCTGTACCAACTATCACACAAGAAACATGCCGCATAACGTTTGCTCCAGTAAAGTCAGTGCACAGGGAAGCAACAATAAGGAGACACAACACTGACAGACATGTGACATTTGTGCTGTATTCCATGGACACAAAACTGTCCAAGTAAATGAAACGTTTCTGATTATCGTACAATGATTCATCGTGAAATCTTGCACATCATCTAATGATTAGTAAAGTGTTAAGTTAACAATATGAAATGCAAAGAAACGCTCATTGAAGCATATCTCCTCTTTCCCGTCAGACACCAAGTCACGTAAATTTTGAGCTCGATGAGTAGAGATTACCGCATCATGATGGACAAGATGAAGACGAAAATCTTTCAACGAAGATTCATGTCATGCCCTCCAACTTCCCCGTGGAAAACAGCTACTAAGACTTTTTGGCTGCAACAGTTCATATCACAAATCCAGGTGACTAATATCATGCTCCGTGTTTGTGGCTTGTTACGTGAAATGTTGCAGCTGGAAAGTCTTAGTGGCGAGCACCAATATATTTGATATATCAACAATGATTCCTTTTCAAAGCTTTGAACAGCGACACAAATTACATTGAGGGCGTTTCAACACTGCATCATGAAACACCAAAATTTGACCAGTATTCGATTTCTCAGTTACATCTTACTCAAACACTCCGTATTTGGTGCCCGCGATACTATACGACAGAAGGGTAATTTGAACTAAGTACAAGAAGTCTACAGAAGAACAAAAGGTGGGTCATCCTCCTTCATCCTCTCCACATGGTACCAAAAACAAAAAGGTATGGAACTATCTTCTTCTCATCTTCATCCAGTGGTATCAGCCTCTCTAGCCTGCACTCAAGTCATACTTCTCTGTCCAGTATTTACAGCAAACAAAATCCTGAAACTTCACGTACTGAGCTTTCAACCCCTGCCTTGTGGAGTGAAATTGAGGTGTTTTCTGTTTTCTACACGCAAGTCTCAGCTATAGAGTCTCCCTTTCGACCGTAAGGTGAAATAGTCAGCTGCCACACATTCCTCCGTCCTCCACACAAGAGAGGAAATTCCTCAAATGACCAAAGTTTTGTACTGAAGTGTTTTCTTAAACTCAACGGTCAGATCCAGAAACCGAAAAGTGCATCTAGTGACTGTCGAACGATGGGGCACCTGTAATAGTACGATGCTAAGTGGTGCTTTAGCTTTTGCCTGATGCTCAACAATTCCACCACGTAGTGCAAACTGCTCAAAAACCTTCTAGGTTGAATCGTTTGTAACCAGCAATCGAGTTGTTGTCAAGACGATCTAGACGACAAAATCAACATCAGAAAAGACAGAGAAATCCCCTGCAATACTTTCATTACAAAAGAAGGCCACGGCAAGAAAGGGGAACCAGACTAAACAGGCTGGCAGAACACCACGGTAGGTGGATACTCTGCTGTCACGGCCAAAAACTCTGCAAGAGCCTAAGTTCAAGCTTCAATTACGACATGCTCTCTTAGCCAAACATTTATGTAGGAAACAGCAGTCAATCCGCTAGCTCATTACTGGAAGGAGCATATCAAATTGAATTGATCTAGAAAAGGAAATGCACGTGAATAAAAGCGCGATTTAAAGACGAATACGACCTCTGCATGACAGCAATCCCATATCGAAGCCTCAAGATTAGAACAATGATTACTTCGGTCAGGAACTGAGAGCTCCTGTGTAGATGTCTTGCTAATTTGGTAGGCACCTTCGTCAAATTAAAACAAAAGTCTTGCGTGACTGACGTTCCACAGATCGATTGACCAAATCAAAAGCTGAAAGCGTCTACTGGTACACATGCGAACAATACAAGAGAAACGCTCTCCAGAACAACCGAGCCAGTATATACAGGTACAAACCTCAAGACTTGACAGTGCCACTCAGATTCCCACGTTTCACCGATGAAAAGCCAGGGATTGAGCTCAATGAGGGGTGGCAATCCTCGTTCAGTAAAATGGGGCCAGAGCGGCGGGAGTGTAAAGCGATTTCGTCTGCCTTCTCGCATTCAGACGGCCTCTATCGATCTCCACCAGCTCATAATCCCTCCGATTCCGTTTCACTGAGCACCTACGCACCTTCATTGCTTTAAAGCTCATGACTCACGGTTCAGGCACCCACAACTCGGGTGAAGAACAAGGCGTGCACGTTTCTAGCATAACTAGCTTCTAGAGTGCTAGTCAAGGACCTCCTGATATCCTGTTGATCCCAGATCTGATCGGTTGGTGAGAGTCAATTCATGAGACTCAGCTCGTCCGCAGCCTACAAGAGGACACTCGGGTTTGGCAGAAGGCGAAGTCTGAAAGAAGACTAGATTGCAAACCTCTGGTATGGTCAACCTCGTGAACAGCGCTCGACATAACCCAACCCATTGGCTCTGGTGAAACCGTCCAACGCCACTACCCTGGACGGGCTCCTGCAAGCCCTCACTGCGGAGAGGTCAGATGGCAAGCACAGCAGGACTTCGATTTCAACGGTCGAAAGGAACTGTCGTCTACATCCACTACGCCAACTCGTCCACGTCCTGGCAAACTAGTTCTTCTAAGCCCGGCAGAAGCCAATCTTCTAGAGCCAGGTCAATCTGGTGGCATGAATCACGAGGACGCTTCCGTCCAGCGAGAGGAGGAAGTGGCAAGCCCCGAGGACCTCCCGACAGGTCTGCCAACCTCTCCAACCACTGCCGCACCTGTCCTCCGGCCGACGTCCCCATTCGGATCACAACACACAGGCCACAAACGAAATCCATACGGCACAGGACCACACACCACTCAGGAGGGATAGGCGCGTGCCACGATACGACTCTGGACAACAGGCAGGCAGACCATGAACTCGACCTCACAGAGGTCCATTGCGACGCCATACATCGTAGTAGTCATTCGTTCGAGGAGAAGGGAGTTAAAATAACAAACAATCCGGAGAAGACTTGTGATTAAAATAGAGAAGACTGAGTAAAAGATTGAATCGCGGACTTTGTCCGCATGCCAGTGTACAGAAAGCGGCTAATGGGCTTCAGAGGCCCCGCCAAAGGCACTAAGATTCACTATTATCCACACCCAACCCATACAACACACCAGCGTACTTTTCTGTAGACCCGTTCAAGAACCCTGCCTTTAGCTTCCGGAAGGTACAGGACGTGAGCAAGCTATCGGAGCCGGCTTGATGACAGGGCCCGATTCTTTCCACCTCCAGCATCTCCGCAAGCCGGTTAAGTCCGCCATGCAAATTGTCACAGAACTTCATTAGATACTTGATATCATACACGGTAGGAAAGTAAGTCCTCAACAGGTTGAAGAATTCCGCCTCCCGAGCCGGTAAGTTTTGGCAGGTAAGCAACTTCAACAAGTAACCAAAATCGTATCCGCTGTGGAAAGTCACCCAATGCACACTCTCATTCAACACGATCCCCGAAGACATCAAGAGCTCTCCAAATCTCTGCGAGTCAATCCCCCTCTCCTCGTTGGCTTGGAAATCGATCCCGCTATCCCGCAACAGCTCTATCGAGTCCTGCGCGTACACATCCTCCTTCAGATTGAATTCCCTGAAGTTGAACTGCCACACGCAGTAGTCCCGAGTTCCGCATCGCGGCAGATTGCCCTCCTCATCGGAGAAGGTTAACCCGAGCTGAATCAACTTGAGCATGTCGACGTTAGCTCGAAGAGTTTGGTAGTGATAGTCTGCACTGCTCTTGAAGGTGCCAACCGGTCTCACCACAACGCCCGGAAACTCGGTGTCCATGGCCAAATACGGGTAGTCATCCACAATCTCACGGATTAACTCGAATTCATGTTCGAGGTTATCCGCCCACACCTCCCGGATGTGGAGGGTGCCGCCCTTTGGAATAATTGACATCTACTAGAAATCTTGCCCTTCTTGTAACTCCTGTTACCACAAAGATGCCGTCGTCCTTAATACCCTGTTTTTGCCTCGTTCGCATACGCTGCTTCAGATACGCTCCTCCTCGCTGGCTCGCACGGTAACCCTCTTCTTCCAACGTCGACGCACCGCTGCAAGCACTCGCACCCACGCGCTGCGCTACCGATGTCTGCTCTACTCCCTGTTTTCTCCAATCCAACATGAGCGACCTCGATTCGCCCTCGGGCCACCGCTCCTCCTCCCCTCCTCTCTATCGATTTCGCCCGTCCCTCGTCTGTTCGTCACAGGTTAGGGCTCCTCCTCCTCCTCCTCCTCTCGTCGTCCTTCTTGCTCTCGCTCCTCCCTCGCTGTCGTCTTCTTAGGTCTTCATCACTCCTCTCGCACATCCCTCCCCTTCCTTCCTTATTCCCCCACCCCCTCTCTTCCCCCACTGCATCAACACCACCACCACCACCACCACCACACCTCTCTCTCTTCTCTCCACTCCTCTCTCTCTCTCTCCTCTCCAACACGGCTCGCCTGCCTGCTGCTACGTTCCGTATGTCTGTCTGTCTGTCTATCTGTTCCGTCTATCGGACACTATCGCTCTCTAATCTCTCGCTCGCTCTCTTTCTTCTCTCGTGGTGTCGTCGTCTCGACTCGACTCGTCTCTCCGGGCTTCGATTCGATTCGCTGCACTGGCTTGGCGTCGAGCACGACGAGCCGCACTCTTTCTCCCTTCGACCGCCTGCTCTCGTCTCGTCTCGTCTCGTCTCTCGTCTCCGCACTCCGAGTCTCGCTCTCGCTCTCGCTCGTCTTGTGCTGAGGGGCAGAGCAGGGCGGGCGACGGGCGGGCGAGGGCGGGCCGACGGGCGGGCGGAAGAAGCGAATGACGAAACACGCTCCGCGAGGATGCCAGAGGACGAGGAAGAAGGAGTAGAAGTGCGCGTGCCTCGCTCGCTGCTCCGCAGGCTGCCTTGCAAGCAAGCAAGCAAGCAAGCAAAGCGGGCTGCTCCTGCTCTGACGTGGCCTGGCCGCGCCTGCCCTGGCGCCTGCTAACTCTGCTCCCGCTGGAGCAAGCAAGAGGGAGGAAGGAGGAGGAGGAGGAGGAGGAGGAGGAAGAGGGCGAATGGCCAAAACTCGATCGAGCCAGACGAGGAACGCCAACAAAGAAGAGGACGAGGGACCGACCGACCGACCGACCGACCCGACGAACGAACGAACGACCCAGCGAGCAAAAGCTAGCTCCCGATCGAGGGAGCGAGGGAGGAGCGCGGGTGTGGGGGGAGCGGGGGAGTCCTCCAGGCCGAGACGGACGAAAGATAATGGGAAGGAACTATGGGACCCCCGACAAGCAAGCTGGGAGGAGGAAGGGGGGGCCGGAGTTCCTACACTAGCCCAGCGTCGTCGTTATCGTCCTCGTCCTCGTCCTTCCTCGTCGGCCTCGCCCTCCTCGCCCTCCTTCCTCGTCCTCCTCGTCCCTCGTTCCTTCTGCTGCCCGATCTGCCCGATCTGCCCGCGCACTACCGACTGCATCCATCCACGGCCCCGCCCCGCCCCGCCCGCACGGACGGTGAACTTACTCGCTCGCTGCCTGCTGTACTGTAGTAGTAGTAGTAGTAGTGGTAGTAGTAGTCGCGTCCAGGCCAGGCCGGGCCAGGGACAGGGCAGGGCAGGGTGAGGGCAGGGCAGCCAGTTGGATGCCCATCAACTTAGCCAAAAGTTGCCCCCAAAAGGAGGCCTATTTTTAGCCTCTGGTTCTCCGCTTTTGCTCGAATTGGGGCACCCTCGTCGCGCAGGGATTATTATTACCTGTGCGTGCACTTCTTTTTGAGCTGGCTTGCAACCGTTGAATGCTCCGACTGGCGCCCGGTAACAGAACGCGCTGCGTCGCCGGCCGCTTTCTGGCCGGTCTGCGTCGGGGCTCGCCAGCGAAAGGCGTCCTACTGACGCCTTTCGCGGCCGCTATCCGGCTCCATGTTTGCTTCATTTATTGGTGAATATATATCCTCTGAAACATGAAACATGACACAATAAATTAACGAAAAGCAACGGAGCACCCCGTCAGGGGTTGCAAAGCAGAATTCGATCCGGTAACATGGGGCTATGCTCCAACAGAGTCATAGCGGTAAACTTTTAGATATCTAACTTTGATGGTTCCTGATATATACCAGCTATATTACACGGTTGAAAATTTAAATAATTTTATGTGACAAAAATTACTTTTAATTTTTTCATGAATCTTCACCGACTATTGATATACATAACAATGTTGACATATCATCTAAAATATATTTTTTAAAAAAATTTGATAACATTTATACCATTTAAAATTTTCAAAAATTTACGTAAAATCTCCCTAGTTTTTCAGTGTTCATTTTTACATAAAAAATAAAATCTAGAATGCAAAAAAAATAAATTCCTTTATTCTCTCACTTTATTTTTTACCATTCATAAGATTTGGTAATGAACTTTTGAATTTTTTTTATATAGAAACTATGATATTTTATTTTATTTTGATATGTAATAATCTTGCTGAATTTATATCATATGTAGTTTGCAACATATTATAATTCTTTTCCCCAAATTGATTATAGACATACTCTAACCCTGCATACAAAAGCTCCTTACATCCGATGTATCAAAACTGTTGCGTCACAAATGTATCACATCCTTATCACCTCAAGGTTATCCAATATGAGTCAAATTTCATATAAACATGAGTTCAAACCTAGAGCGATATCATATAATGAAGATGTAAATTAGTATCAAAGAAATCAAATAAAAAGAGTCAAAAGAATTCATCTTGCCAACCGTCTTCATCTAGAGTAGTCTTCTCCTGATCCATCAACCAATGTCAAATAATCATGTTCTTGTATTATAGGATTGGAAATAAAAGTATTGGCGAATGTCGGAATTTCCTTTCCAAGATGCTTCCTCCTGCGCTTTGTAAACATCGCGTGCCTTCCGCATCTATTTTCTTAAAATATAAACTAGTCCTCTCATAGTGGTCATTTCCATTCCCGGTCAACTTTGTGAAAATAAATGCTTCACTAAGCAGTTACCGTATTACGATGATTTCTCAATCATCACACCATTTATAGACTAGAGCTTCATTTATAGATGTTTGATTGAAAGAGTGGCATTCAGAGCTTTCCTTTTGTAGGGAAGATGGAGAAAAGAAAAATCAAAATATCTGCTAACAATCATAATGCTTGTAAAGATGTAGACAGATACGAAAAGCTTGAAAACCGAATTATGAGCTGGAAGAAAGTTCCAAAAAAGCAAAAGAAATTTATTTGATGTGATTGTTTAAAGAAAAGGTTCATTTGCTTGAAACAATTCTTTAAATACAAGATACGTGTTTCAAGATTGAAATCACCTTGATGTGGGAGAGAAGAAAAGGAGATTTCAAGTTTCATTGCTTTCTTGTAAATCTCTCAATCTACTATGTGGCAACGTGTATAAAACAATAATGCTTCGACTTGGATATCAGAAATCCAACATCTGTTGACGTGTCAGGGAAGTATCCACTTTAAAAATGAAAAGAAAACAAGATAATTTCCTGGAATTAATTCCTGTTCTTCAGATCGAATAGAGATAAAATTGGTTTCAGAAGTGTGGCATGTGGATAACTAAATTACATCATGGATCATATATATATATATATATATATATATGTGTGTGACTTTACGTCGAGCTTCACATCTAAACCTACCGGGCTTTGATTATTATCTTGTAAATGCAAGATGGGATTGAATAATAATCTTGAATATCGTCGATAGGCTATGGCTTGCGGAAGCCAAGATCCGTCCTTTTCTTGTTAAGAATCCGCATAGATTAAACACATAAAGAAGTAACTGAAAACAACTTTTATTGAACGGGCCATTTCCATCAATATCAATATTATTGTCGATGTGAAGCATACATGGATAGAATTGATAAGAGGAAAGGATCAGGGCTCGCGCAAAGAAGATTAGAAGAGCAAACTAACCGACAAATAAAAGGTCCAAATAAAATAAATAGATCAAGGACTCGAGATGAGAAGAAAAATGAGCACATTGATTTTAATATCCGATAAACTTGCCGCCTGCTTCTCTCGACACCCCGGGAGTCAACCGCACATGTGACCTACAACGAGTGTTTGACCGGCCTTGGGTGTCACGCAGAACTGCAAGCGATCGGCGACGTCGAATTTGACCACGCTCCGTCGATTACCTTCTTACCGTGGAATAAAAGTGGGCGTGGATGCGCCATATAAAGAAATTTATCACTCAATCCCTTTTGCTGAATTCGCAACCAACCTCGTCGCTCTTGTCGCCTAGCGCCCGCGGAAAAGTTATACCGGGGCTCATGATGCAGTCGCATGGATGGTGGATGGTGGATCAAGGCGGTCCGTGACTTCCCGGGTGCGAGTAGACCCGGCGCTAAATTGTCGTCTTGCCCGTGCCGGGGGAGGAAAAGGGCGACGAGGTAACCACCTTTTGAAAAAGATCGGGTGCAATGCGATGGTGGCTGCAGGCCAATGGAAACGCGCGAGGCACCTTGACCCATGCGTGCATTCATGCATGCATACATACATGATGGTTATGGGGCGAGCAGTGAGGGTGACCCAACGAGCATGCTGGCGATGCCCACTGAAGTCGAGCGATCGACGGTGGCCGGACGGTGTACGTCTTCTCGGGGGACGCCGCGCCGTCCATCTCCACCACGTGGACGGCCCAATCAATCCCGACTGTTGAGATTATTTCTCCACTGTGCCTCCCAGGCTGGACCTCGCCAACTCTTGCCACACTTCGCTCCAGGTTCTCCCTGCTTCGACCGGAACTGCTCTCCCCACACGTGGCGCTCCTCCATTCGCCACGATGAGGCTGGAGCCAGTGGTGACCTGCGGTCGCACGCGCTTACACGCCCGAGATTCTCAGCGCCGGTCATTGCACTGAACAGTAATCCTTTGCTAGAAGAGCATATTTTATCACCGGCAAATCTGTACTCATCTGACTCCTCGACCTTTACCCTCCATTTACTCTTTTCACGAACGGCAAAAATTAAGCACTAACCTAACCTTAGCCAAGATTTTCTTCCAGTGTATTTTTTATTGCAACATTCTAATCGATTGATTTTTTCAGATTATAGGTTTTTTTCTCAGTGGAAGCTGGAAAGAGGTTTAATCGCGTGGCCATCCAATTCGAAGCCACAAAACCTTAGATTAACAGGAAATACGAATTTCTGGATGTCAGTGGAAAGGACAGATGGTGTAAGAGGAGCAAACGCTTCTGCTCAGATGAACCGTCGAAGTGTTCGCCGGGTGTCTCTCCGGAAGGGGACAAGGGGCCTGACCTCTTCTGCGAGGAAACAGGGAAATAAGAGGGCAGAAACTGTGGTCTGCTCTTGTAGCGAGATAGCTTCTAGAACGGGACAGAAGACCGGAGGTAAGAATCGATGCTCTTGTACGAAACCGTTCTAGTGTCACGAGCTCTGTTATCAAAACTTCACCGTGTTTTCCAGTTGTTCCCCCGTTGGTCCTTTTCAGCGACGAATGTGAGGTGTGACGAAGACGTTTGCCGTCTGCCCGGTGCGCTCACGGGCAGCCGCCCAGTTTCCGAGCCAGCCTGCTCCACGCGTCGGAAGTGCGGGTCCTCACCGACGTGCATGATATCATGGCCATCCTACGACCTCCGCCTGCATACATCCATCTCCACCATCCCATGGCATGGCATGCCGAGCACTCCACATACATGTCGGTGCGGTGCCGTCCCAGAGCACGCGAGTTACCACTCGGAGTTGAGTACCGTTGGGAACACTCCCGTTTCAGAGACGACGGGACCGACGACGTGACCTTCGAGCGGGCCTCGGATACCGAATCCGGTTCGATTCTGTGCGACAAGATGCGAATCGCAGTAACTTGTCCGTC